TCCAATGTCTGATGTTCATGGTGCCTAGCCACAGGCACCTAGTACCAGGAGTAAGTCAGGGAGACTCTGAACACTATGAAACCCCTTCATCAGGACCAGTGGCTATATTTTACAAGTAAGGAGCCCTGTCACAAGACTTTGTCTTATTATTAAGATACACTGATTCTCACCTCATATCACACCTCAAAAGGAAATCCTGCTAATTTAAAGCATTAAATGTAAGATAAAATCTTAAAATACTAGAAGAAAATGTGACGAATATTCATCTTGTCTGTTAGATAAGGAAAAATCCCTGTAATTATTAAATCAAGAGATGAAAGACCCAAATAAATTAAAAGTAAATTCAACTACATAAAAAATTTTCTCTGTAACAAGATACCATAATAAAAATAATACCGGTAATATGACAAAAGGTTAATATACTTTAAAATCCTTATGTTGCATCTAAATAAACTCATAAGAAAACAGTGATCCAAATTTTAGAAAAATAGTTAAAAAAAGAAATGAACAGATGATTCACAACAGACGAAATACAAATGGCTAAAAAATACAAAAAAGCTACGGTTTTATTAGTATTATTTATCAAAGACATTACCATTAAGTAAGATAACGTTCAATGCTGGTGAAATTGCAGAGAGAAATGCAGATTTGACCAAATTTTCTGTAAAACAATTTGATCTTATGTATTAAGAGTCTTTTTTTTTTTTTAAGATTTTATATATTTAAAAGAGCACAAGCAGAGAGGAGGGTCAGAGGGAGAGTGAGAAGCAGGCTCCACTCTCAGTGGGGAGCCTGACATGGGGCTCGATCCCAGGACCCTGAGATCATGACCTGAGCCGAAGGCAGGCACTTAACCGACTGAGCCACCCAGGTGCCCTGAGAGTCTTAAAATGCTCAGGGTCTTTGAACCAACAACTTTACTTTTAGGAATAGTTTCTAAGGAAATAATCAGAAATGTGAACACAGTTTTATGCCCCAAAGATATTTATCATAGTTTAATTTACAGTTGAAAACAACCTAAATAACCAATTATAGTGAAAATGTTAATTTATGGTAAATCCATACAAAATTCAGGGCTCCCACATGCAGTCATTAGAAATAATTTTGTTACATAGAGCTACTCGTGAAATGATGGAAGGTGTAAAAGACAGAACACCAAATTGAATACACTCATAAAAGATATATTAAAATTATATTAAAAGACCAATTAAAATTGTGAAAGTATAAATCATTTTTTGTTTTACTCTTTATACTTTTCTATATTTTGCATATTTTTGAAGCCCAGTAAAGGGTATTTTTTAAATTGCCTCTGGATTTCTGACTGATAGTGCTTTCTTTTTTTACTACAACTTCATACCATAATGAGTTCTCCTTTTTCTTTTTTTAAAACACTTCATAAAAAAGATTTTATTTATTTATCTGAGAGAGAGAGAGCGCATGTGTGCGTGTGCACAGGCACGAGCGGGGAGAGGGGCAAAGGGAGAGGGAGAGAGAATCTTAAGCAGACTCCACGCTCAGCATATGGCTTGATCCCACGACCCCAAGATCATGACCTGAGCCGAAATCAAGAGTTGGACGCTCAACCAACTGAGCCACCCAGGAGCCCCTCTTTTTTTTTTTTTAAGTATTTTTTTCATATGGGTTAGACAACTCTTTTTTTTTTTTTTTAAGTAGGCTCTACCCCCAACATGGGGCTTGAACTCATGATCCTGAGATCAAGAGTTGTATGCTCTACCTTCTGAGCCAGCCAGCCGACCCCACAATGAGTTTTCTGGTGGTGCTCAAAGAACTGCAGCTTAGATAATAACTGACAAGTACATTTTACATATTAGATAATTACATATCAAGTAAGTTTGTGCTTTAATATACATTATCTTGGAGCATGATTGAGTTAATCAGTAAAGACCGAAATAAATTTACAGTGTAGTCTGAACTGGTTTGATACTTTCAGCAGACCCCTCCCATATGGCAGCCTAGATGCTTTGTCAAAGATTCCTGTCTTCTGCTAACTTTGTCTTGGGCCATATCTCGCAGCTCTACCTTTATCTTGCTCTTGGTCTTGCCTGACTTTTGTATAGATTTTTCAACTCAAAGCAGGTTCTCAATCTCCCCTCTCGTCTAGATGTTTTAACAGTTCCCTGCTTCTCCAGTCTGTTCTCTTTGAGACATGGTGGTTTGAAACTTCAACTCAGATGAAGCCCATGTAGAGATTTTGTCAGGCTCTGGGTTTTCTCAGACTCTCACTTGTCCCAGGTTTCCAGGGCTCCTACCTGGCATGGCACTTCCCATAGGCCAGTAAGGCACATGCATTCCTTTATTGGCCTTCTTTTCTTTCCCTCTCTCAGCTTGCTCTCCAAGAACAGACTCCTTGGCCAGTGAAGTTGCCTGGGCCAGCTTCCCATCTTGACATCTGGCACCCTCCTGTGGCCATGGATGGGTGTGCCAGGGCCAGCAGTGAATTTCAGAGCTAGGTCCTCTGGAGCATCCCCCAGGCTTGTTGGTGCCATCAGTGACAGTTAAAAGGAGCTGGGCAACCTTTACTTCTGCCAGGTTCCTTGCAATTCACCTTCTGCAACTTGCCTACAGAGAAATTCACCAAAGGCCCCACCTTCCTTTTTCCTATAAATGTATCTGTATCGAGATACGCTAAGATCTACATTCTCAAAGGAAAAGCCTTTTCTGGTTTTGCACTTGGCAGGGAAGTAATAATAAGTACTAACTTAAATGAGTGCCAGATGCTGAGCTAATGCTTTATACCCATTATCACATTCAATCTTCACAACAATGCTGGGAGATAGTCACCTATCTTTAATCTCCATTTTACAGAGGAGGATATAGAGGCTTAGATGGGTTACATAGAAGTCAAGGGTAAACTTAAAAATCAAGATCTCCCTGCTAGTTGATGGCTAAGTTTGGATTCAAAACCAGCCATGTGACTTGGGGCCCATATTTCCTAATCACTAGGCCATACAGTCAGTGTAGAAAATTGGGATGCTCAGAGCCCATGTTTTCTATAATGCAAACAAAGATACTCTGTAACAAGAAGAAAGAATAAAAAAATAGAAAGAAGCTGAGAATAGAGGTAGAGGTAGGGTCCTAACAGGGCTTGAGATCTGGGTTCCAGTTGTTTCTGAAGCTCAGGAACACCCATGTCCTTTTCCAAACCTGGTTGTTTCATCAGACACTTAAGACCTTCCAATAAACTCCCCCTTCTAGTTCCGTTTGATGTGCTTTCTGCCACTCACAAAGCAGAAGTCCTACTAAAACAGGAAACTGAAGACAGTCTAGGTATTAATACTCAGAGCAGCATTAGTGATAAATTATCTCATCCATGCCAGGTTCTTTTGATTGCAAGAAACAAAGATTGAGTCAATTTACTAGAGCCAAGTTACTCATTACTAAGAGACAAACCAAAAGAAGGGTTTATAGAAAAAAAAAAAAGTATGTGCACTAAAACCCGAGTAAACTGAACCACAAGGCCTCAGGAAGAGTTGAAACTGCATCAGTAGCACTAAGGAATAGCCACCCCCTCACCTCTCAGGGCTTTTTGGCTTCTCAGGGAATCAGCACTACTCTCTCTCTGGACCAGCCTTCTCAAATTACTCAGCTTACAACCGGCTGCAAAAGTAGCAGTCTAGTTCCTGTACTTCTATGGCCCTCCAGTTCCAGCTCATACCAAAACTGTAGTGCCCCTTTGTGTCTCTTATTACAGGTTTCCAAGAGAGAAGATTTGACTTCTGCTTTTCTTTTTAGACCAAAGTACAGGAGGCATAAGTCATGGGTTATAGTTTATGATCAGGTGTCCAGTTACCTGTGGTCATGGTCATGTGGCCTGCTGCCCACTCAGTACGGTCAATGGGTAGGGATTTTACTAGAAAGGGATGTGAGCAGGCCAGTAATAATTGGCATCTCTAATCAAGCCTACTTAAATGTAATTTGAACTCTTGCCAGTAAAAAAAAATTAAACACGATGCAAAGACCCATTCCCTAAAGACCCTCTCTAATTATCTCAAGTTGGCAAGAGAGTTCACCTTCTGGTGTTTGTAGGCTTGTGTGCTATCCTCTACCTCAAAGTGCACCTTCTTCAAGTTCCCAGTCCCACCTGCACCTGCCCTAAACACTCTGCATTGAGCTAGACTACTCCACTCACTTGGGAGTCTATTAATTTTTTTCTCCCCTTAACCACACTAAAGACTTTGCTTAGTAAAGCATTTTGAAGATTTAGAAAGTGACTGTTCAGTCTGCTTAGGATTTATATACCAAACAGATGTGCCAAGAAGTCATAGGAATCAAACTGCTGTTCTGTGAGTAGAATAATATATTAACTTGCCTTTTAGCAGTTTCGATTACACAGCTGTACAAATTGCAATGGAGTCTTCATAGCTAAAGTTGCTTTTAGCAAAAGCACATCACTTCTTCAGGATGGAAGTTTTAACATAGCAGGCATCTTGAGGGGCATGCATCCTTGTAAAATACTTCTCATTATTTGAGAGAAAATCATCTAGGAAATTGAGATATGGTAGTACTTAACTTACCTTGAGAAATACTCTGCTTTTCATCATAATAGCTGCACTGGATATTATTTCATGATGAAACTAAGGAGTTCCTAAATAATGGTACCATCATCTTACACTTTTAGTCTTTCTGAGCCTCAGTTTTCTCAACTGTTAAATCACGATATCAGTACCCATCTTATAAGGTTGTTGTAAGGAGACAATGAAAGCTTTATAAATAGCTTAACAAGCTGCCAACCATAGTAAATGATCAATAAATGTTAGTTACCATAATTATTACATTTTGTTTCTCACCTTAGCAAATTAAAATGTATTTTTTAGCACAGTTTCTCATTTTATCCTTTCAACCTATGGGTAGGTATGGTGCTGAGTATATCCCCATTTCATAGTACAATTAACAGAAACAGTAAATAATTTAGGGTAAGTAATTTTTTCTAAGATAACACAGACAATAATTCACATCTTTGACTTCTTTTTTTTTTTCCATGTCAGATGGGTCATGCATGGAGGTCATAACAAGGTTTGAGGGAACCACATGTCACACAACGGTGTAAACACCCAATCATCAAGCTTATGAACTACAAAAGGATCCCACATCTGTGACTTCTAATTGAATCTTCCTTCTGCACAGAACTTAAGTTCTGTGACACGGACTTTAGTGAAAGGAGAAGGCAAATATTATACTAAAGGAAGAATCCTCCACAACTTTCATCCAAGAATTGTTACTCGGCTAGAAATGTGTAAACCTCTACTTCTGGCAGCCTGGAAAGCTAGATAACCTAAGGGCCCATTAGCTATGAGACCATTAAATCCTGATTTGAATCAAAACTAATATGCACTTTAAAGTTTTGCTGGATTTTGATGAAAGGGGTCAAAAAAAAAAAAAAAGCGAGCTCAAACAAGATCAGGGAGCAGTAAGCAAACATAAAAGCCAGAGTTGTCATGGGCAAGCGCCAGTACCAGTCCAGGACAAGGAGCCTGAGCTTGGAGGCACACTGCAAGGTGTGGAAATCACACCTGAGATTCCTTCCTGCTTTGAGCCTGGTTCTGCAAGAGGAACTTCAGAGATACCTGATCGGTTGCATCTCAGATCTCCTCTCAGAATCAAATGCAAGTACTCTCTAGAGTAAAGCAACTCCCAATTTGGTCTCTGGGATTTCCATAAATTAAGTTCAAGAAAATATAAGCTCACAATTTTAAAAAATCACCAACACATAAACCACCATGAGTTAAGATCAACAGAAAGAACAAACAATAATTTGTAAGAGCTGAAGAACTGGAACTGGAATTGTCATTTACAGATTATTAAATAACCTTTTATGAACCATTTAAAGAAATCAAACATGGAATGAAATAGATTTAGAAACAAGAGACCAGAAACATTACTAAACGAACCGAGTATTAATTTTTGGCCTAATAGCTATAGATTTTGAAATTAACAACTCAGTAAATCTGTTAAAAACAAAAAAACAGGGGCACTTGGGTGGCTCAGTCATTAAGCGTCTGCCTTCGGCTCAGGTCATGATCCCAGGGTCCTGGGATCGAGCTCCGCATCGGGCTCCCTGCTCCGCAGGAAGCCTGCTTCTCCCTCTCCTACTCCCCCTGCTTGTGTTCCCTCTCTCGCTGTGTCGCTCTCTGTCAAATAAATAAATAAAATCTTTAAAAAAAAAAATCTACTTCTAAAAAAAACAAAAAAACAGTTGAAGACAGGTTCAGTGCCCTGGAGGTTATATCCAAAGAAATTACCCAGAGTGCAGCATAGAGTACAGCAGATGGAAAACATGAAAGAAGGGTTAAAAGACATGGAGGGTAAAACAAGGCTTAACATGTCTAATCAGAGTTCTAGAAGTAAGGAATAGAGAGAACAGGAGGAAGCCAATATTGAAAAAGATAATGGCCAAGAATTTTCCTAAACTGACTAAAGATAAATCCACAGATAGAGAAAGCACAGCATATTTCAAGCATGATAAATAAAGAAAAATCCACACCAAGACATATTGTGATGAAATGGCACAATACCAATGATGAAGACCTTAAAAATCCCAGAGAAAAAAGCCAGGGCACCTACAAAGAAAAAACAATAAGCTACCAGAAGACCTTTTTTTAAAAAAAGGCATATAACAATAATTTATTAGTGCTCACAACAACCCTTGGTAGTAGTTACTGTTATTATTTCTATTTTAATGTAAGGAAATTCTGGCTGAGAGGGAAAGCCCAAGGTCCTACAGATACACAGCAACAAGGATACAGCTTAGAAATGCAAGGATGAGTGGAAAAGTAGGTCATAAAACACTGCTTCAGCCATATGCAACAACATATGAATCTTAGGACATAATCTTAGGATGAATCTTAAAAACATAACACTGAGTGAAAAAAGCAGGTGGCAGAAAACTATATACAGAATACCATTTTTATAAAGTTCACAAACAAAACTAAATAATATATTGCTTAGAAATACATACATGCATGATTAAATCATCTTAAAAACAAGAGGATAATTGTTATAAACTGAATGTTTGTGTCCCCCCCCCAAATTCACATGTCAAAACCTAATGCCCAATGAGATGATATTTAGGCGGTGGAGCCTTTGGGAAGTGATTAGATCATGAGACCAGAACCCTCATGAATGGGATTGGTACCCTTATAAAAAAAGCCAACAGGGCTCCCCAGTAGTTCCTTCCACCATTTGAGATTACTGTGAAGAGATGGCCACATATGAACTAGGAAGTGGGCTCTCATCAGATGTGGAAACTGACCACGCCAGCACCCTGAATTTGGCACCCTCCATTAATGTGGGAAATAAATTTCTGTTGTTTATAAGCCCTTGCCTGTGGTACTTTGTTATGGCAGCCTGAACAGACTACAACAGGAAAATACACAAAATTCCAGATAGTAGTTACCTCTTCTGAGATGTGGCAGAAGAATGGAACAAGGAGAAGCACATGCTGCAAAAAGCAAAGGTAACACTCTAATTCTTAGACTGCTGGTAGGTAACAAGTATTCATTTCATCACTGTATTAACACATGTGACTTCTATTCTTTTGCATGCATCAAATGTTACACAATAAAAATAAAATAAAATTGCCAAAGGACTAATTTTTAACTGGGTTTTTACAATGTATGTTTAAAAACCACCGGTTAATCCTTCTGGCTGATGGTTGAGGGATATAATCAGCCTCTAGAGTTTAATTGCCGAATTTTGTAGTGAATCACAAAAAGGCTTCCTACATAATTAATGGAAGACAATGATGGAAGTCATTCCTGGCTGGGGATTTTAAATTCCTGGTCTTGTATTTTCTCTCCAAATGGAACAGTCTATTCACACAGCTCTAATAAGAGGTGTGCTATTTCCATCATTTGTATGGCTGTCTTTAACCTTGTATTCTAGATAGTAAAGAACAATTTCAACCTAAGAAAAATATGCTTATAGGATAACTACATTAGAAAAAAAATGTTTCATTTTGTGTTTGATGTCATATAATTAAGTTGGTAAGAAATGAAAATTTTGATGTCCTTTTTTTGGGTAGTGGGATTATAAAATAAATTCACTTTCTCATATCCAGAATTTTATGAACTAATTTGCTCAATTTTATTTTTTTTAAAGATTTATTTATTTGAGAGAGGGCATGAGGGTTGGGGGGAGGAGCAGAGGGAGAGAGAGTCTTAAGCATGGAGCCCAGCTCAGGGCTCGATCTCACAACCCTGAGATCATGACCTGAGCTGAAATCAAGAGTCAGATGCTTAACTGACTGCACCACCCAGGCACCCCAATTTAAAATGCTTTATCCTATTCTCTGTATTTCCTGCATACCTTAGTAGTTTGTAATTATCATTAAAACATCTTTGAGTTGGATGAGTTAGCTGGCAAAAAATTGAGTTTTACTTGTTTTTGATGGTTGTGTGTGTTTAATGCCTAAGAGAGGTCTATATAATCTTCTCCTAATCAAAGTCCATAAACTTGATCTTCCCTCAAGAATTTCCCCCCAAATTCTTAATCTCAGGGAAACAAACTGAAGGTTGCTGGAGTGGTGGGGGGGTGGGAGGGATAGGATGACTGGCTGATAGACATTGGGGAGGGTATGTGCTATGGTGAGCACTGTGAATTGTGTAAGACTGATGAATCACAGACCCGTACCTCTGAAACAAATAATACATTATATGTTTAAGAAAAAAAAAAAAAGAAGAAGATAGCAGGAAGGGAAAAATGAAGGGGGGGAAATCGGAGGGGGAGACGAACCATGAGAGACTATGGACTCTGAGAAACAAACTGAGGATTTTAGAGGGGAGGGGATGGGGGGATGGGTTAGCCTGGTGATGGGTATTAAAGAGGGCACATACTGCATGGAGCACTGGGTGTTATACGCAAATAATGAATCATGGAACACTACATCAAAAACTAATGATAAAATGTATGGTGATTAACATAACATAATAAAATAAAATTTTTTAAAAAAAGAATTTCTCCCCAAAATCTCAACATGTCATATTATCTCAGTACAGGAAAGTGTTTCCTAAACATAATATATGCAATTTTCCCTTCATTAAAAATGAAGATTGTTTTCACAGGAGTAAACCAGCTTAGTAGTTTATTAGGTTTAATGTATTATTAATTGGAAGACATGATTTAAAAGATTTCTGTATAATTTTTCAATCCTTTGGATAGTAATACAATCTGATATTAATATTATAATTTCCTAGAAAAGTAAAAAGGATTTTCCCATAGGTAATTAAGATAAGCTCTCAAAATGAATCCCTTTTGAATCCTTTCATAGTTTTTTAAAATTTTATTTATTTATTTATTTATTCATTCATTCATTCATTCTTTTTAAATAGGCTCCATGTCCAATGTGGGGTTCGAACTCATGACTCTGAGATCAAGAGTCACATGCTCTATCAACTGAGCCAGCCAGGTGCCCCCTCATTTTTTCAGTTTTTAGAATTGATGTTCATGGGGTGCCTGGGTGGCTCAGTCGTTAAGTGTCTGCCTTCGGCTCAGGTCATGATCGCAGGGTCCTGGGATCAAGCCTTGCATCAGGCTCCCTGCTCCACGGGAAGCCTGCTTCTCCCTCTCCCACACCCCCTGCTTGTGTTCCTGCTCTCGCTATCTCTCTCTCTCTGTCAAATAAATAAATAAAATCTTTTTTAAAAAAATAAATAAAAATAAATAAATAAATAAATAAATAAAATTGATGTTCGTTAGTGTAAATGTGTTTGTGAATGTAGAGTTGACTTTGATATTTGCAAGGCATTTGTCCAAAGGTCTTTATGATTCCCCAAATTTAAAACAAACAAACAAAAAAACAGCAGGAAGAACAAAAATAAAACTCCATGGCTTAAAACTTGGTCTATGTACGAACCATGAGAGACGATGGACTCTGAAAAACAAACTGAGGGTTCTGGGGGCGGGGGGAGGATGGGTTAGCCTGGTGATGGGTAGTAAAGAGGGCATGTTCTGCATGGAGCACTGGGTGTTACGCACAAACAATGAATCATGGAACACTACATCAAAAACTAATGATGTAATGTATGGTGATTAACATAACAATAAAAAATTAAAAACAAAAACAAACTTGGTCTATGTAGACAGAAA